ACAAAAGAACTCGAGTTTCGAAGATATATCGTAATTAATAAAAAATTTCATCACAAAGTCAACATATTATAAATGCATTTCAAAACAAGGTTAAAATATTTGTGAGCAATAACTGCTACGAAAATGTCTTTATATTAGCATATAAATTCTTCTAAGTAGTAACTGCTTGAAAATGTTTAGGAAAGTTTGCACACAGCTTCTGTAAAGTGCTTTATTGGATCAGTAGCACCACAGGACAGTACCTGCATTCACATATGATAAAGTCCTGGTGTTCGCTATACTTATTCTTGTCCTTTTCTTTGTCAGGATAATGCCTGGTTCTTCGTAAATCTTCATAACTGATGGATATTTTATAGAAGACGTCCAGGTACTTTACTGCAGCAAACCTGGCATTTTGTAGAAATATATTATGTCAACATATAAAAGTTTTGTTCTACGAAACGCGATCAAGCTTGTATTTACGTTCCCAAATCATGAGTAGCAAATAATATATTAAGGATGTTTAGAAGCGTTAAATATTTTCTAACGTTCCCGTAACCTTTCAGAAAAAAACACTTATCAAAAAAAAAATCTATACAACAAAAATTGTATAGAATACTTTTTCACCTACATGAAAAATATTTTTACATGGGCTGGATACATTAAATTTTCTAAAAGCGTCTAACTTTTTCTGTATATTACGTGTGATCATTAGCTGTACTTATTACTTGAATGGTATTGTTGGAGCTTTTACGAAGTATGGTTATTCAACAGTTGAATCCAGTAGGCCATATTGTCTATTACTATGTTATTTTTTTTTTCAAACTGAAGTAGAAGGAAATAAAATTCTGTACAGTCACTCGGAAACCTTCACCGTTAATGTTACACCACGTAGATACTATTATTGTTGTTCGTGACGGGCATATTCGGTACTGAATATTGATTCCTTCCTTCTGGCTTAGAGTTCTTTCTTCTCATTGTTCCGGCATTTATTGTATTAGCATACATTAAAGATAAGAAGTGCATTATTGTATTATCATACATTAAATGCATCAAGAAGAGCGGAATATTCAATAAAGTGATATTGATCTCTTCAGTATTTCACTATTTTATTACTTCAGATCAATATTTTATTATCTTGACCCTTTCTTGTATACTAAAACTTTGACTGGAAATGTTCTTTGACGACAGAAAGTTAAGAAATTCATAACATTTCTGTAAAGGAAAAAAAATAGAAACCATGTACAAAAACATACATTCCTTTCCAAGATTGAAGAGCAGTATAGCAGCATATAATGTTTCATATTCTGATGTTTTTTGTGTAAAATGCATGCACTGGTCAATAAAATTTGTAAATTTTAACATATGTGATTACAGACATAGTCGTGCAAAGCATATTTAAAGTGACCCGTGTTATGTTGGGAAATATTAATGTTTAGTATGGTAACTTATTAAATTCAGGACAAGATATAGAACTGCAATAAAATTATATTTTAAAATTTATTTAGTGCAGTTATGTTATCTGCATATGGCATGGAATTTCTGAAATTAAATGTATTCTACAAAAATTGATTTAAAGAAATTTCCTTCATTTTTGCCAAGTGCAATTCTCATCTAATATTTCCACTTTATATATTCTGCTATTATTCTAAAGAGAATTTTATGCTAAATTTATGGAGATTGTAATATATCTTACATAATATTAGGTATATTTTTTATGTCGAGAATACAATAAAGGCAAAAGAAAGTAAAATATGAATTATTGAACAATAAGTTCCTCTATGGTTTAACAGCTCACTTTTTAAATATCCGCACTTAAATGCACAATGGTACTTTCTTTTATTTATTGGCAAATGCAATCCGTATTTGATAGGCAAGTATTTGGAAACCTTGCTGAGAAATAAATGTTTAATTTTATGTTATTTAATTATTAAGTAAGGGTTGGAACGCTGAATGCTTTACGTATAGGGTGTCCCATAAGTATTGGCACAAACATTTAAACTTTTTCAGTCACCTCAAAAAGATTGAGACCAATAACAACCATTTCAAAACGTTTTAGAGGTATAGATACATCAGGATTTTTTTACGGGCTGGAGAGATGAAAAATGAGCAAACGCCTTCGCCGGGAATCGAACCACAGACTTCTGGAATACCGGCCCAGCGTGCAGAACCACTACACCACGAAGGTACTCTAGGAAGGCCGGAGAAATGCCTTATATACTCTCCCTTTTAAAGGGCGACTGGGGTTTTAAGGGATCCAGTCGTCAAATCCTGAGTGTGAATTTTCATCCAATACTCTTTTAGTTCAGGCGCCACTGTAGAGGCATTAGGTTATATTTTTTTTTTAAACCGGAGAGATGAAAAATGAGCAAACGCATTCGCCGGGAATTGGACCACGAACCTCTGCAATACCGGTCCAGCGTGCAGAACCACTGCACTACGAATTTACGCTAGGAAGGCGGGAGAAATACCTTATAAAAGATCTTCAACGTCTCCATCATTATAAGAGACGCATGCGTTAAACTGACGAATCATGGATTTGCTGATACGGTCAAAAATACCTAGATTTGATTGGATATCTGCAGCAGCACAGAGAATTCACACTCGATAATTGTTTTATACACAACAGTTTTCAGTGTTTCCTGAACCCCATGCCACACAGACACTATACGTTTACAAAAGTTCATGCCTTCACCGGGATACGAAACCTGGCCTTTCGGGACAGCAGTCAACATGACTAACCACTATACTATCTGGGCGGCCTTGTTGAGTTGTTACTGCATTAATTATCATGTTAAAGATACTTTTATAATTCAAAATTCGTTTGCGATTGTAACGTTAGATTTGTATAAAAAATTAATTACATTTTTTACAGAATTACATTTTTATTATTATGTATTGCCTTTCTATATAATTTTTCTAGCGAAATTATTTTTTAGAACTACAGTTAATATATAGAACAGAAAAGAGTATATAAATATTGAAGACTTTTGCAATGTTACAGCAGAATTGTTTAGAATTTCAGAATATAAATCAAAGATGAGATAAGAATATCTCTTAACTTGATTGTAAAAATTAATTCTTCAACATTTGTAAAGATTCCGCTGAGATAGTTGCACACGTCGTGCAATCATCTTTGAACAATAATAGGAAAACTAAAATACTATTTCTTACCATTAAATATTAATCTTTGAAAAGAATAAATACGGCTTTAATTCCTAATCACTTTAATCATTACCAGCAAGATTACTTGCAGATTTAAAAGCAAAATATGACATGTGAAATACTAATTTGCATCAAAAGAATTGAAATTTTGAAAGTTTAAAATCGCGTCTCCAAATTAGGTGTAGACTAAACTATACCCTTTTTTGTAATGTACTATTTTTCTTCATAATTTAAATCAGTAACGGCTTCATTATTTAGTACTCTTCTAATAGATTCATGCAACAGTAAAAAATTCTTAGGACAAGTAAAATTTAACTTTCAGTTTCCATACGTTAATTTTTGCACAAGCAGTAAACATTCTATATAGATATTTAATTGTTTACTCTGAAGTTTTTAAAAGATTCAGATGTATATTTTATTTTGAATGTTTTCAAATATACATGATTCTAACAAGAATACAAAAAATGGATAACTAGACATAACATTCCATTGTAATTTCAGACTTTAAAATGTTAATCTATTTATCTAAACGATTAAAACAAGAGAAAAATCATCAAGACTCTCTTGAGTTTTACTACATATAATAATGAAGATAAAAGATAAGTTAAATAATTTTTTCCTTGTATTATTGTATATAGAAGTAAAGATCACATGCATTTATTCTGATCGTTTCATTTTGTACAGCAAAATGCTTAATAGGAGAAAAGGAAATGGTTTTATTGATGCATAAAAGTTTAGTTTAAATGTTTATATCAAAGATTAATCTTACTAATAGAGGGATGAGTAAAAATAAACTATTTTAACTATTTTAGCATTCGTTGTGATGCACTACTTAATCCTTTCAAATAGTAAACTATCTAAAGTTTTATATAAATCCAATTAAAATCAACTATTGAAGGGTAGTATTTGTACGGGTTAGAAGATATCAGTTGTTTAAGCTATTGCCGTTTTTACATGTTAACCTCTTGTTAAATCTTGCATTTTAAAAACGTTATTGGATAAACAGCATACAATATATTTTCGCAAATTTCGTAACAAAAATTAAACTCTAATTGGGTTAAATGTAATACAGAAAAGTAATTAATTTTGGTTTACTCTCCTTAGGAAAACATGCAAAACAATCTTTAAAAAGTTGCGAAAAATATTGAATATATAATTGAATTAATTACTATTAAATTTTTCAGGTACATTCGAATGTTAACAACATTTTACCTTGAAAAGTAAGTTCCGAATTTCATAAAGCACCGAAAATCATGTACAGTTTGATTACATTCTTCAAACGAAATTAAATTTGTATGAAGGAAAATCCATTCCCAGCGTACAACCATCTGAAACAATACATCTAAATGAGTAAACTGCATGTCATTCAAATCTCTGTAAAATAATACCTTAAAAGTAAAGCAAAATTTAAAAAAACGCAAACTGTCCGTTTGTGTAGTATTAATTCTTAAAAGTATGTAAAATAACAACAATTTTCAAACTATTCACTGTCAATCAATTCATATTCCACTCGTCTAAGAAAAACCGCCATCTGCATTTAACACATTATTGTTTTTACTAGAGTTCAGAGGAGCGTCTCACAATAGCAATAAACACAAAGACCTGTTTTTATACAAATGGAAAGCTGTTTACGTTTGCATTTGCAGACTTTCGAGTTCAATAATTAGTTTTACATCCACTGTTCTTCAATCAAAATATAATTTCCTTGAAAGAAGAATAAGTAAAAACAAATTATTTTCCTTTATCACGAAGATGTACAACTTTGTAAAACCTTTTCTATCCTAATTAAGTTGTCGTTGCTCGTAGCTATACAATGTTACCCGTTCTCCAAATTTACATAACTGCTAAGCACTTACCTGCTCTGACGTGCACATCTCTACTGCCAATGACACCAACTCTGTTTGAAGCTTCGCATCTGTACACGGAAGCATGTACGTCTGCCCTGTACTCCTCGCTCTGGAAAGGTGTGAATACTAATGAGCCATCATGTCTTGTATATCTAAGACCAGGGAGATCTTGCAGTACTTCACCATCATGTTTAACCCACCGGATCAAAGGTGGTGGTCGTCCATCTGCGCTGCATGTGATAGCTGTACCACTTGAATTAGAGAAGTCTACTCGGTTCGGAGGTTCGTTTTGAAAACGTGGAGCTCGAGTCTGAAATTCTATAGCAAAACCTAAATAAAAAGAAATAAAATTGGATAAGTTTTTTATGCATATTATGCTTCTTAATTTTCAGGATGTTCAAAAGTATTAGTAATTTTATAAAACGTGAAACAATACACAGAACAAATGGCAATCTACATCATAACATCACATTAAAGTGTAATATCGAACAAATATAATCTCAGTTTAAAAATAATCTAACTTATTCATTTTAATAAATTTTTAGAACAACGTGTGGGAAATTCGATTCAAAATATATTATGGACATTTAAAACAGTGTGGGAAGAAATACGTTGCCCTGCGCCATTTCTGCGCCAGAAAAAAAAAATTGCAACATTCTAAATAGAAAGCATCTGGTTTACTGTCCCCCACAGAAATTACTTTATTCCTATATGTGAAAGATATATAAACAATGCATTTCTTTTACTCTTTATTACTGAATATTTTCTTCTTGCGGGACTTATCATTTCTTGGAGCTACAAGAGATAATAATAAATTACTTTTTTCATATACAATACTACTTCCTTAAGATACAATGTAAAATATTATATTATAAAGGATAATCTTTGTTGGAAAGTCTTCTTTGCTTTGGGGACGCATTAAAACTCTAAAAGCACTAGTAAACGTATTCGTTTTGAAAGACAAACATACATTTTTTATTACAAAAATTAACATTTCTAATGATATAGTGCTATGATTTCACAAACCGCATTATATTATAAATTACTTACAGAATATAGACTATTAAAAGACAATACCGAAAATATTGTAAAAAGACAGCACCAAAAGCATTAAACTATTGTTAAAATTTAAAATTATGCAGCAAACCTCATTTGTTTGACAGTAATATCACGACAAGCCCACAAAATCCATTGTGGTAAGGAATGCAAGACTGCACTTCTCGTTAGAAAGAGGTTTGAGCACCATAGAGGTGACTTTGCTCAGCTCCGCCCTCCCCCCGCCCCCAATTTTCATGGAGAACACACTACAGGGTTGACGATCCGAGGATATCCAAACCTCTAGAGAGGACTTTTGGCTCGCCGCATATTTAGAGTGCCTCCATTCCTCACAGACACTATACATATACAAAGGTGGGATTACAGCCTTCTATGGGATTCGAATCCGGGCCCTTTAGTACAGCAGTCAGCGTCGCTAGCCACTATCTCGGATCGGCGGCCTGCAAAGACGTATCTGACCTAAACATTTTCAAAGTGCTTGGTATTATTGCTTAAAACTGATCTTTCTAAATATTACTGAATTATATTTTATAAGAATTGTGTCATGGCTTTCTGAAGAATAAAATAAAAGTGTTAGATACAGAAGGAAAGCTCTATTTTATTGTAAGCTAATAATTAAATCATTATGCAGTTAAATTAATGTATATCAGTTAAGTTTATATGATCTCCTTTCTCATTAAAAAAAAACTTTATTTTTCCAATAAATAGATAAGAGCATGTCTACAATTAATAATCCCTCTAAAAATAAAGACTTTTAAAATATTACTGTGGAGTATTTAGATTAGAGGTTTTTCCTTCTGCATGCTTTTCTTTATTTTTGTTTATAGTCCAGCGAATTACGAATAAGCTGTAGCAAACGAAGTATGTATAATATTAAGTAATTATTTTTTAATATACTAATTAATATACTATTTAATGTGGCGCTATTTTCACACTTTTGCTTTAGTTGTCACAATAGCTAAGAGATTACAAATGTAACATGACAAATTTATTAGAGTTATACTAAAGATTTTTTAATAACAATGATACGTAGAAGAGGAACTTTGAGATCTAACTCATTACGAAAAAGTATTGTTACGAATTTGGTATTTAAAAAGCTAATGTTAGTTCAATTATAAATTAAATGGTTTTATTTCTCGCGCAGTGCAGCGCGTGACGAATATTAAAAGAAAGCCGGAAAAATTAAAAATACTAGAGCGCGTGCGTTAAATAAATAAATATCTCTTTTTGATTTCGAGAAAGTACTGGAAAATTCTAGCGCGTGATTTTAAAAGCTTATAAAAGGAGGAAAACATCTCAGTTGTTGTAGTTGCTTAGTTTGTTGTTGTTTAGAAAACTGCTCTTGTTGATTGTAGCGAATTCGCGGATTAGCGTTCTTTAGCTGTTTTGAATTACGTTCTATTGGACATTTGAGTAGTTAAAAGATAACTACTGTGAGATATTGTATTGTATACTGCAGATAATTTGAGAAAATTTAGGCATTTTTGTTGTGATAATAATAAATTTTTGTTCATTTTTCATCGGACTTGTGCATTCATTTCATAACGAACCCGTACGCACGCAACAATTTTTGGTGTCAGGAGTGGGGTTTGAATGTCAATAACAAGAGCGATGGAAGAACAATTCAGGCAAATGATGACTGCATTTGCTGCTTTCCAAGAAAAGATGGAAGGGGCCGTCAAATCCGTTAAGGAAGAAATGAAATTGGGCCAGGAATCCGTTAAGGAAGAAATGAAATTGGAATCCGTTAAGGAAAATAATTGGGCCAGGAATCCGTTAAGGACGAAATGAAAGCCGTTCAAGCTGGTCAAGAAAAGATTGAAGCATGTCAAGAAGAAATGAAAAGAGAAATTACCTGCATAATAGAAATAAATTTGAAGCTATGGACAGGCATTGAATTGACACAGTTGAAAATAAAGTTGGACAAATTGAAGAAAAAGTTTCTTTCGTAAAAGATCAATTGAAGAAAGAGTTTCTTCGGTGAAAGAGAAATAGAAAAAAAAGTTTCTTCTGTAAAAGAACATATAGAAGGGAGAGTTTCGGCTGTGGAGGAACGAATTGAAGGAAGAGTTTGTGCCGTCCAACACCAAATCGAACAACAAATTGATGAGAGAGTTTTCTGCCAGTTGCCAAAGAATGGATACTTTAAAGAAATTCGTATCGTCGGCAGGGAGCAGGAGTGATGATTTTAAATTCTTACCATGCCTGCTCGTTCACCTCTGAAGCTATCCACATATGATGGGAAGACCTCCTGGCAGATGTATAAGACCAGTTTTCTATCGTGGCGGATGCGAATGGATGGGATTCCCAAGCTAAGGCCTGTCATCTCGCCGCTTCTTCTAAGAGCCGACGCAGCGGATATCCTTCAGACTCTTCCCGAAACAAAAGGTTAGATTTCGAAGCTCTGTCCGGCGCCTTGGAGCTGCGCTTTGGGGAGAAGTGTTTAAAAGACTACAGCAGCTCCAATTAAAATCTCGTCAACAGAAGCCTACCGAAACACTTCAGGAGCTCGCCCACGGAGGTTTGAAAGGCTGTCCACCTCGCCTTTTCGGAGTGCCCGACAGAAACAAGAGAAATCCTGTCGCTGCAATATTTCATCGACGGCATCCGAGATCCTGAAATACAGAAAGCTCTTCGAATGGCAGATGTAAAGGACATGAAAAAGCGCTCTGTTGTACGCCATGAAGTTCGAGGCAGCCCAGCAAGCAACTAGTAGAGATCGCTACCCAGTTAGAGCTGTGCGAGTCCATGAGCCAGTGGATCAACTGATGGCTCGTTTAGATGATTTAGCCAGACAAGTCGACGCTTTGATACGGAGTAGAGGGAGAAGAAAGTGGCTCTAAGGTGTTGGAGATGTTGGGTAGTGAAGGTCACCTAAGACGGAATTGCAGAGCACCCCAGGGTACGGAATATAAAGCAGATGATTTTACCAGACAAGTCAGTGGCTTGAACGGAACATATGTGAAAAGAAACTAATTCTAAAATGCTGGAACTGGGAGTTGAAGGCCACTACGAAGAATTGCAGAACATCCCGAGGTACGGAAAATAAACATTTCCCAGCAACGACGCAGTAAACAAATTAGTGACCATATCGAGGAACGGAGGTTGCAGATAATGAAAACCTTGTTTAAAGCGCTTAAAATTTATACAGTGAGTGGCAACAGTAACGGAATGTCCATTAATGGGAATATCGATGGAGTTCCTTGCGATATGATCATTGACACAGGAGCTAATGTTACCATCATTAGGAAAGATTTAGCTGAACAGTTTAAAGATAAACTTATTTGGACGCCATCCTGTGTTACCCTTCAGACTGCGTCTGGTGATAAGATCGACATAGCTGGGAAGTTAAACGTGAAAATCACATGTGGAAGTGCCGCCTACCATCACACGGCATATGTGGCAGATATTACAGATCCATGCATACTCGGATTGGACTTTTTAAGGAAATACAATTTTTCCTTAGACTTGAAAAACAACAAACTGCTTTCAGGATCTGAAGACATGACTATCCATCCTAAGAAGGGATCCTCACCTGGAAATGCCGACGCTTTGTCCGAAAGACCAGCTCGAGAAACAGCCGAAATCATGCTAGGGTCGAAAAGAAACACCAGACTACAGCTATTCTCCATCTCAGATGCTCTTCGGTCGAGACCTTCGTCTGCCTTGTGACCGCCTGTTTCATCGCCTACGGATGCGCCTTCATCGCCTGAGGAACACATCCAAGATGTCAAGGCCCGTTTTGAAGTAATGCACCGTTCCGCACGAAAGCGAGTGAACTTGGCGACGGAGAAGTGAAGACCAGATTACGACAACAGAGCTACTGACATAATCCAACGAAGGAGACAAGGTGTGGTTGTGGAACCCGATTCAACGAAAGGACTCAGTCCTAAATTACAGTCACCTTCGGGATGGTCCATATACAGTGCGGAACAGACTGAATGACGTCGTCGGATTCGTAAGTCTTCGAACTCTAAACCTAAAGTCGTTCATTACGACAGGTTAGCTCATTACTATGGCCATAGTACGTAATGTAAATAATTGTAAATAGTATCAGACCATGGTCCTTTTTGTTTATAAATGTGTATTTAGTATTTGATTTGTATTTAGTATTTGATTTGTATTTAGTATTTGATTTGTATTTAGTATTTGTTTTGTATTTAGTATTTGATAGCATTTGATTTGTTTAAGTTAGTTATTGCATTTATTGTTTATATTGTTTGATATTGTAATGTAATGTTATGCCTCAGTTGCATTTATGCCACAGTTGTAAG